GTACTTACAACCTGGATAATTCTTACATATGCAGCAGTGGGAATTTAGTTAACAGCAAAGGCTCAAGGCTGGCAGTAATTATGGATTCTAGATTCAAGATTTTTGGTGCTGGAAGGACTCACTGGAGGAGACTCTCAGCCATCATCCACCAATCTTTGATCTCCCCTTCTTCTTTTTTTTTTTTTTACTTTAGACAAAGTGTCAGAGTGGCTGGAATGCAAAGTTGCCCAGGCTGGAATGCAATGGTGCGATCTCAGCTCACTGCCACCTCTGCTTCCTGGGTTCAAGTGATTCTCCTGCCTTAGCCTCCCAAGTAGCTGGGACTGCAAACGTGCACCACCACGCCTGGCTATTTTTTGTATTTTTAGTAGAGATGGGGTTTCACCATGCTAACCAGGATGGTCTCGATCTCCTGACCTCGCGATCCGCCCGCTTCGGCCTCCCAAAGTGCTGGGATTACAGGTGTGAGCCACCGAGCCTGGCCCTCCCCTTCTTCTAGTAACAGAACTTCGGTTTTGCCTGGGCACATGACCCCTTACCTAAAGACTATTTTCAGCCTTTCTTGCAGCTTGGTGTGGCCAAGTGACTAAACCCTAGGCAGTGGGATGTGAGTGGACACACTGTCTTCCAGATGACGCATCGTAAAAGGAATACTGCAGAGCTCTCCAGCCTTTCCCTCTTCCAGATAGCTGGAAGACAGCAATGGGAAAACGCTTCCTGGACTTGGTTGAGGAAGGTGGCGCCAATCTACAGCGCTGGTTCGTATCTCCAGAGTGTTCCACCACCCTGAAATAAACAGGGATCCCATTCCAGCCACCGTACCTTTGCCTTGCTTTGTTAATGCAGCTGAGCCTACAGCCTGACTGACAGACTTACCAAAACCTTTCATTTTACAGAGAAGAAAATAGAGCCACAGATGTTCAATGAATTCCCTTACGTTACACAGGTTATTGGCAAAGCAACAATCTGAAACCAATTCTTCCAATTCAAGACTCTTCCTAAGTTCACATACTGATCAGGGATATGTCTACGTATCAGGCAACTTCTGGGACCCTGGAGGAGACTTAGCTACTCATTCTTTATAGAACACTAAAATGAAGCCATTTGACTTCCAGTTCTTCTTCTTTTTTTTTTTAATGTGGGTAAATAGAAAAGGCATTTTATTTTTAAATTTTAGAATATTTAGTTGACAAATACAAATTATATATATTCAAGGTACACAACATGATCATTTGTTATAAGGAGACGTTGTGTACTGAATTCCAAATCCAAATAATTAACACAACCGTCACTACCCATAGTTACTGTGTGTGTGTACATGTGTGAGGGTGGTGAGCGGACACTTGAAATCTGCTCTCATCAAATTTCAAGTAAACACTGCAGTATTACTAACTACAGTCACCATGCTAAATGTACATTCCATCCCCAGCACTCCTTCCTCTTGCATAAATGAAGCTCTGTACCCTTTGAGTAACATCTCCCCATGCCCCTCACACTCCCAGGCCCCAGCTTCTATGAGTCCGACTTTTGTAGATTCCACATGTAAATGAGATCACGTGGTATTCATCATCTTGTGTCTGGCTTATTTCACTTAACCTAATGTCCACCAGGTGCATGCATAGAGTCACAAATGGCAAGGTTTCCCCTTGTTTTTTAAGGACTAAATAGAATTTCATTGTGTATATTTTGTTTATTTTATTTTATTTTTTAAGAGACAGGTCTTACTCTGTTATCCACGCTGGAGTGCAGTGGTGCAATCACAGCTCATTGCAGCTTTGAACACTATGGCTCAAGTGATCCTCCTGCCTCAGCCTCCTGAGAAGTTGGGATTATGGGTGCGAGCCAGTATATACCACATTCTCTGTTCTCTCACCTGTCGATGGGCGCTTAGGTTGATTCCCTATCTGGGCTACTGTGAAGAATTCTGCAGTGAACATAGAGCGCAGGCATCTCTCTGAGATCCTGATTTCAATTCCTTTGGATACATACCCAGAATGGGGGACTGTTAGATCATATGGCAGCTCTATTTTTAACTTTTTAGGGCACCTCCATAATGTTTTCCATAATGGCTGTATTAATTCACATTCCAACCAACAGTGTACAGGGGTCCCTTTCTCCATACCCTCACCAACTCTTGCTGTCTCCAGAGTTTTTGGTTAATAGCCATGATATCTCATTGTGGTTTTGATTTGCATTTCCCTGATAATTAGCGCTGTTTCTAGTTCTTTGATTTAAACAGAAATCTTTCTGAGAGAAATATAATTAGTCATTTTCTATGGTAGAGAGAAATACAACATAAGACAAAGAGGCCAGAACTAAGGCAAACAGGACCTGTGTTCTGGCACTGGCTCTGCAGTGTACTGGCTGCATTACCTAGGGTGAACACGCCCATGGGAATCTGCCTGGACCTCTACTGAGCCACAGTGCACTGAAATTATCCATTTGCAGGTCTGCCTTCCCTTGTCTAGGCCATCCGTCCTGGTCTGGGCTGGCGGATGGGCACCACGCCCTCCTGTGTGTCACGAGGAGAGAGGATGTCTGGGACATGGCAGGCTTGCTGGTGAACGCACAAGTCATTCGGATCTGTTTCCTCATCATAAAAGGAGAAACTGGACTGAATCAGAGACCTTTCAGCTTTTTTAAGGAACAGGTGCTTTCCATTCCTTGAAAGCTTTGAGCTTGCTGCAAGGTATTCAGTACTCTTAGCCCTACTCACAAAATGTCATATGCTCACCCTAGCCCTTCTGTCAACCAAAGTGAAACACCTCTGCCCATTTCCAAATGTACCTAAGACCCTTGGGCTCCAGCACCCAGTTCGGAAGCAATAGGTTAAGTCTTTCCTGTGGCAGCCTTCAGATTTCCTCTGAGTTACAGTCAGAGGGAGAAGGAAACGGCGAGCATCAGAGGGTTTGAAAGACAGTGCTAAAGGCCAGACCCACAGATGTTAAAGGAATTTCACAGCAGAGAGGATAAACAACAGAGAGAAGGGAAGAAACATGGAGAAGAACACGAAAGCCATCTTGGGGGTACAGGGTACAGAGACAAGACCAGGGAGTGGGAGAACAGGTAAGGATTCAGCGACAAATAAATCTAATCCTACAATCCAAATACCCCTGACATCAAAGTCCGGAATTGGTATTCATTAAAAAGATCCTGCAAAGGTTAAAATATGCTCAGTATATTCTGCCTAAGAGGGTAGAGAAGGATGCCTAGACCAATGCCTGGTCAAGAGTAAGCACACAATAAATACTGTAAATGAATATTAGTAAATTAGTCAATGAATATTCTGGAAAGACTGCCATGTAAAATACCCAAAATATGGATGTCTATAGGCTTATACTTCAGTTATCTGAAAAAATTAATTGGCTTCATTTCTCTAGCATGTCACTTTTCTTTTCCTAGAGAATTCATCACTCCTAGGTCTCAGCCATCTATCAATTCAATAAAAATAGTCACAGTCATACAGCTGGCTTACTGGCTTCCCCGCCTGTGTTCAGGAGTGGGTAAGTGGCTGCACTAACGGGGGCTGTAGGTCCTTCTTTCAGTTCAGGAAAACAGACGCGCACAGGACCTGAGGCCAGTAAGCTGGGAGATGGGGAGCCCCGCCATGTACAGTGCCATATGGAAACTACTAATCCTGTCCCACAATTTGGTTGCAATAAACTAAAACTGACATGCATATGATTTAATCTGATACATATGTATACATATATCTATAAAAAATTTTATCATACTATGCATGCTACATGTTATCGTCTGTCCTGATTTTCAAATTTAACAGTATGAGATGAACCTCATTAAGTATTCTGTTTTATATGTTTTTTAAAAATAGATTTTACAATTTATATTATTACTCACCAATGATCAGAGGAAGATTTTATTATTCAGAGCACTTTTAGGTTTGCTGCAAAATTAAGCAGGGTATAGAGATCTTCCATATACTGCCTGTCCCCCCCAACACACAGTCTTGCCCATTAGCAACACACCTCGCCAGAGTGGTCCACTTACTGCAACTGATGAATCTACACGGACACGGACACATCATTGTCACCCGAAGTCCACAGCTTACATGAGGGTAGAGTTTTGGTGTGGTACATTCCATGGGCTTGGTAAAATAAATAACAACATGTACGCAGCATTAAAGTATCACACAGAATAGTTTCACTGCCTTAAAATCCTCTATGTTCCGCCTGTTCATCCCTTCTTCATTTTAAAAACTTACGTCAATATTCCATTGTAAAGATGAGGTGAGTCATATGTATTTAAGTCTCCTAATAACGGGCTTTTAGATTATTTCGGATTCTTCGCAAATATAAACCACCCTGATAGACATCTCAACAGCTGGTATATGTATACAAGTATGATTATCTCCTCACAATACATTCCTAAGAGTGGAATTTCTGGGTCAAAGGAAATGCACATGTTGATGTGCATTTTAAAATTTACTTAAATATGTTTGTACTGACTTTGGTCTCATCTGGGCTGCCTTAGACAGACTATTTTCCCACACTTCAACAAACAGTAAATCATGATTGATAGATGGAAATGGAAATGACTGAGTGTGATGGCAGCAGGAGGCAGACAAATCTCAGGCAGACAAATTCTAGGCAGACAGGACGTCCCCGGTGAAACCTGACTGTCGAGCTCCAGAGTTTAAAGCCTGGCTGCAAGTCCCGGATAAACCTATGGAAGGGACTGAGACCCTCTCCTCCCATGTGGCGCACTTTTATCTGACTGATTACCCCTCTTCACCTATTTTACATATACCTACCCTTCCCCAGTTGGTTTTTTCCACTATCGTTCCCACCTTTGAGTGGTGACTTCGTTTTAGCCTTCTTTTTTGCATGCTCACAATCAGCATGCACCCCTCCATTCTGAGCCCAAAAAAGCCCCTGAGTCAGCCACATCAGGAGAGAGACCACCTGACTTCCGGTGGGGGACCACTCTCGCCTCCCCTCTGGGCTGAGAGCTGTTTTGTGGTCAATAAATCTCTTGTCCGCCCTCCTCACACTCTGGTTGTCAGCATAATCTCGTTCTCTTGGAGACAGGCCAGGAACTCAGGACTCCGCGGAATGCAGGTACCAAGACGGCAGTAACCCTGTAACCCTCCATCCCCCACTCCCTTCGGCTGCCCCACTCAACGGGAAGCAATGGTCTGTTAATGTGCCCGTTTGGAGCTGTTAAGATGCCCGTTAGTCGGGCTGCAGACGCGGGTCGAAAAGAGCCGTGTGCACGCTCCAACATCCCTTCTGGGG